CTCAGAAAGCTCAGCCCTGAAGGTCTTCGGCAGCTAAAAGGCCACTGGCAAGAGGCAACTCCTCCTTGCCGTTTTCAGAGTCTGCTGTAACGATTACTTTTTACAAGGCAATTAAGAGCAGTCATTAACCAGCACGACCAGGCGGGCATGCTAAGAGGCTTCCTGTCCATTAGCACTCTGCACCAGACCGTCCAACGATTCATCACAGACCTCAGAGAGCAGGCACATAGACTCATGTAAATGCGAAGGCAGTTTCCTCCTCAGCTCTTGCAGATGAGATGGTCAAAGGCCTCTACCACACAGCTCTGAAGAAGGTTATTCTTGCAAAGGTCATAAAAGTAGCCTGGCAGACCTTCCCTCCTCCTGTGGTCAAGGATCCTTTGCTCTCTGCTTCCTGGAAGACTGTTTTATGGAGCCAACAGTAGAGACTGGTGCCAGGTTTCATCTTGCTGTTACATTTATATTCAACAGCAGGAAAATTAGCATCATGAATTTTGGACTGTTTGGTTTGGTCAAGATCATCGTAACTTTTTTCAGTCAATTTAATGAACAATAAGGGAACCACACTATTTCCACTTGTGTGCAGGTGCCAGAAATACCACAGTGCTTATACAACATCACACACACGTAAGTAGCTCTCTTGCAAGGTGGTCACTTTACATTTTCTAAGTTGCTCAATTATTTTAGTTTAAAAAAAACCTAAACAATCACCCCCACCCATACAAACAGAACCCTACAATTTATTTTTTCTAGGAAATGTACTTCATTTCTAATAGTTCTCTGTCTTAAACAAAAATAATACTGGACAGATGGAAGACAGGCAGCAATTCCTGCCAGTTTCTGCCCTGTATGCACAATTACATGAGAATATACACCTTAAACACACACTGGCAAGGAATTCAATGCTGTCAGACCTCTCCTCTGCTCCACTGGCTCCTGGGTATGTTTTACTGCACCGGAAGTTTCCTGCATGCAAGTGACATGCAGAACCAGAAGCCCATGGCCTTGGTTTACTGGGAAGAGGATATAATTCAGAAGCCTGGTCACAGGGGTCCCTGCCCTCCATCTCATTCAGTAGAAAAAGATCCTCTCCCAGTCTGGAAGACATTGGTAGAGGATATTTCTCTAATGAACAAGTTTCAAGGATACTGAGACATTGTAATTCCATACCCCCAATCAGAAATATGTGTAGTCCAGTAATGGAAACCTATGTTCTAGTTCAACTACATGACTGTGGCCAGGTCATCCACTGGGCTATGCTACAGGACACAGATGATCAGACATCAGTGTGACTACTGTAACTTGATCAATAAATCAGATGCCATCATAGCTACTACAAACCCACACCAGAGCTCCAAACAGAAACAAATCATAGAATCATAGAATGGTTAGGGTTGCAAGGGACCTTAAAGACCATCTAGTTCCACCCCCCCTGCTATGGGCAGGGGCACCTTCCACTAGACCAGGTTACTCAAAGCCACATCGAGCCTGGCCTTGAACACTTCCAGGGATGGGGCATCCACAGCTGCTCTGGGCAACCTGTTCCAGTGCCTCACCACCCTCTCTGTGAAGAATTTCTTCCTGATATCTAATCTAAACCTCCCTGATTTCAATTTATACCCATTGTCCTATCACTACAGGCTCTTGTAAAAAGTCCTCTCCCAGTATCCTTGTAGCCCCTTCAGATACTGGAAAGCTGCAATGAGGTCTCCTCGGAGCCTCCTCTTCTCCAGGCTGAACAAGCCCAGTTCTCGCAGCCTTTCGTCATAGGAGAGGTGCTCCTATAAATCCCACGTCCTTATGGCAGCTGTTCCGAGTTGACCTAAAGGGCTGAATGAATATGAGGTATTCATCATGAATATGAGGTATTCATCTCAAAAAGGGAGTTAATACCATTTTCTTTAATATACAGCTTGCAAAATAAAAGCTTAGGGGTGTACATAGGATTGTCTAGATCACATAATGAAACTGCGGAAAAGCATGTGACTGAACCCACGTTCCAGGATCCCTTTCTAATTCTTTATGCATGACATTGTACTTCTTTGCAGGAAGGTGGCATCCTCAAAAAGATTAGATATATGAGATAATACAGTGTTTACTGAACAACCAAGAACTAATGACAGGGAGAGAAGAAAGAACATCAAGTTCTCCTCTAACATTCTTGGCTTTTTTATTATTTTCATTTGTGGTTATATTTAATATTCCTAAAAATGAAGGCCTTGGAGGCATCAGCCGGCTGGATCCAAGCATTTTGCAAGACAAGTTTCCTAGCACAGCCCTGCAACAGCCCTTCTAGAGTGTGCCTGGCCAAGGCTTGCCATTGTGAGCTAAACTGGAATTAGGCAAAGCGCTCAAAAAAGACTAAAACAACCATCACCAGAGACATGAAATGACAATGGAAATGTAGGAGTCCTCAAAGCATGAGCAGAATTCAACACCATCCTCTGCACAGAAGACACAAGTATAAGAATGCTCTGTATCATTAGGGTTCTTCTCACCTAATTTCTTTCCTTGTTACACAATTCATACTGTCAGTTGAACAGATTCAACTGTATTTATCAATCAAGTCAGGAGACAGGGAACTATTTCTTCTCCATCTGACCTGCTCAGAACTTTATCCTCACTTCCATCAGCCTCTAATACTTGAGGATCTGGAAAAATACATACGGAGCATGCATTACTGTAGAGAGGTTTTCTAATGATACGCTTGCCTACTGATTAACAGCCCTACCAACAGTTGAAGGGTGCTGACTTACATGCTGCATATGCCCCAGGTGCATGAACAATACCTTTGCTTTCTGCAACACTTGACACACAATCCAAACATCCAGTATTATCAAAACAAAACGATGCTTCAACTTCCCATCAGCCTATTGCAAATTAACTTCATAAGAACCACAGCATTATTTTTGCTTGAATGCTGGTATTTAGAGGAAAATTATGAAGTCCATTATTAAGAAATAGAGATGAATTTATGAAAAGCTGGTAAGCTGAGACACAGAAAGCAACAAACTGTTCGGCAGTTTTAACACAGGAGGAGTTAACCAGCCTGTGAGATGTGGGACTGTTTCAGTAAATTCACTGTAGGACACGGACAATCACATCTTGGAAAACAGCAACTGTGGTTCAACAGAAGCACAATGCGCTGCCTCCAAACTGACCAGGGGCACAGCCTGGCAGGTGAGCCATACAGGAGTGCAAAGGAGATCCATACGTTCGTATGGGGCAGCTGCCGACAGGAATATAAACAGAGGGGACCAAGTGCCACGTGGGATATGAATACAAATATTTCTCAGCTGCTCTGAAAGGAGGTAGCTCAAGTGAGATTTGCCAGCACTAGCAAAGCTGTAATGCTGTCCCAGTAAGAACATCCCTGTAAATCAGGGGTCTGTATCTTTTTCTGATGTTTGTACCACTAGAAACTTCCACCAGGAGCCTGGACTGCTGTAGGAAGGACATTAGCCTCCTGGCAGTATACCTGGTTTTCTCATTAGTTTGGCTCATGACTTCATGATAGTCAACAGACTCCTTCCCACCTGCCCAGCTCCCCCCACCCCCCAATCACCTTATTATGGAGGGCTCAAGAAGTCTGAAAGCAAACAGCCCCTGAAATTTACACTTAAAGACACCTCCAGCTCCCACTCCAAAGTCAGGCCTTCAGTGTAACGCGCTGCAGCCTGCAGCCCGGAGAGGACCCCACGCAGGCGTCTGTGCCCCAAGGAGTCCTGGACTCCATGGGAAGCCAGCATGCATGCCGGAGCAGGCTGCTCCTGAAGGTCTGCAACCCGTGGGAGGGACCCACACTGGAGCAGTTCATGAAGAACTGCAGCCCATGAGAAGGATTCACACTAAAGAAGTTGGTGGAGGACTGTCTCCTGTGGGAGGGATCCCACGCTGAAGCAGGGGCAGAGTGTGAGGATCCTCCCCTGAGGAGGAAAGAGCAGCAGAGACAATGTGTGATGGACTGACCACAAGCCCCATTCCCTGTCCCCCTGTGCTGCTCAGGGGGAGGAGGTAAAGAAATAGGGAGCAAACAGGGAGCAAAGCTGAGCCCAGGAATGAGGGGCGAGGGGAAGGCTTTTAAAGATCTGTTTCATCTCTCATTGTCCTATTCTGATGTGATTGGTAACTAGTTAGATTGATCTTTTTTTTCCTAGTCGAGTGTGTGTTACCCGTGACCAAAACTGGTGAGAGATCCCTCCCTGTCCTTGTCTCGACCCACAAGCCTTTCTTGAAATTTTCTCCTCCCCATTCCACTGGGGAGGAGTGAGTGAGTGGCTGTGTGGTGCTGATTTGCTGGCTGGGCCTAAACCATGACATAGTTATAGAACATTAGGCAGAGCAAAGAGCACATAATATCCCAAGAAAGCACAGTTTTCATAGACCCTTGATTAAAGATATTCACCAGAAGCAACACCTTTTAAAATGATAAAGGTGTTGCATTATCATTTTCATCAGCATTTATACTACTGATAGGAATTCTTTGGGAAAACAGTTCTCTGTCCCACTATGCCCTGCATATTTCTTCCATGTGAACTCAAGAAAAAAAATAATAGACCAGGATTCTCAGCACTAGAGGACAGAATCACTCACAGTAACCTTGATGTCATAGAAATTACCATTCTAGAACTGAGAAGACTAGACAGAACTGGGCCAAATTAATTTAGCGGCTTCTGTCATGGAGAGATACACGTAAAGGATTCTGGAAACACCTGCGCTTCTTTGTGACAAGACAGCATTCATGCTTTTGGAACGACATGAAGACATTTGGTGAGAAACAAGTTTTTACTAACCTTATCAATACAACATAAAACCTATCCAAAGGTACAAATTCATTTCAGACTGACAAAGCTATTTTTCTCAGTGTTCAGTAGCAGGGCAGCATTGTGCCAAGGAGCTCTTTTCAAACTCGACCAACTGCACAGGGAAGAGATTGAATTTGCTGCACCAAGATCATCCTCCTGCTTGCAATGCGGAAGGACTATGAAAGAACCACTTACCTGGAACCTGTGAACCAACTCCAGCGATTGGCTGTCATTCTGGTCTGCTTCAAGGATGACATCTGTCAGTTTATGTATGATCACGTCCAAAGGGCCCTGATCTTCAATGGGTTTGGTGAGGTCAAGCTGAAGAAACCAGAGAGAAACCTTTTATTAATATATGGAGGATCTGAGGTTCTTGTCCCTGCCACCGCCCAAGGTGTTGCTGCCACACAGAAGGCATTTATTTACACACTGCCTTTATTTTGGTATGTTACACAGATCCCTGAGAATTTACATTTCACTGAATGTCAGAAAGCTTTACTCAGACATTTATTTCTCAGCAGTGTAGATCTAATTCCATGGAATAGCAATGAAGTAATTGGCAAGCACCCTTTACCCAAACACCTTCCTGTACTTCTTCGTCCTAAGCCAACACTTCCCTTTCTAGCTCTCTTTCCCAGTACTTAGACACACACTCAAAAGGAATGAGCCAACAAAGATTATCACCACTAATAAAAGGAACGCCTGCTGCCCTTTGGAATTGCACAACACAGCACCCAGGACAGTGATACAGGTAACACAAAAGCAAGTGACTTAGGATCTTTGAAAGTTCAATCTGCTGCAGGAGCAGCTATTTAGCTGGCAAGGAGTGGTGCAGCTCCCAGAGCACTCCCTCTAGCAGACTTCGGCAGTCAGCTGGATAGAGAACACAGATTTGGGGTGGGGTGTACAGAAACTCTTCTCCAGACAGCATGGGAAGTCACAAAGACAGTGGCAACCAGAAGACAGGATTCAAGGAGCAGAGGAACCACCAGTACTGGAAAAGGATTGAGTTAGGGATCTCTTGAAGAAGTCTTAATGCAAGAAGGGTACAGGACCTGATGGGATGTATGCAAAGTTCCTAAAAGAACTGGATGATGTCATTGTGAGGGCTCAGATTCTCCAATTTATCATGTCATAAATTGAAACAGTGAAAATTCTAAGCAAAACAGGAAAAAAATTCCACTAGGAGTTGCATCACAGCGTCCCACAGTGGCTGCAGGATCTGCATCCGTTGTGGTTTGCAAGATATGACTGGACAAAGCCCTAAGCAACTTAGTCTGAATTTAATATTGAATCTGCTTTGATCAAGATGATGTCTTACAGTCCCTTACGGTCCCCAAACTCAACCATCCCATGAAGCTACTTGTCAGATTTGCAAATTTATAAGGCTAAGGGCAAACACAAGTTTCTGCACAATCAAGGCAAAACGAAGCAAACAGCAGCTTGGCTTAAGGATGTGGAAAGAGATGATCTACTTCTGCAACCAACTTCCAGAAAATAAATTAAATATCCTTAAAAGAAATCTCAGATGACCACACTACTTATCCTGAGTTTTTTTAATCTGCCTATCACATCTGGAAGGAAACAGTAAAACAAAGGATCCATTTAACTGTCTCAGAAAGTTCCCAGTTGCCAAGGTACAAAACTGTGAATTAATCCATTTTCATCACTTCCAGTTTGAAAAACAGTGAGAAGCAAGTAAGTATTTGAGATTGGTTACCCCTCTGCATTCTTCCTGTGCTTGCAGCTCAATCTGCACAGAAACATTCAGAAAACAAGAAAACAGTCCTCTCTTTCAGCCTTGACCCAAGAATAGAAATCAGCCTCCAAGGCATATCCAGGCATTTTCAGCCCAGTGTTTTCCAGAAGCATAAGACATCTGGGCAAGATAATCTCTCCACAACAGCTGTGCCAGCTAAAAGCAACTGGTATATTTTGAGAACAAAACCAAAATGCACCTATTTGCACATTGGAAAATGTTAGAAAGGGCCCCCCGTAAGAGTGCTCTGCTTCCCCCTCACCAGCAAAGCAATGCTAGAAATGACAGCACGCTAAGGCAGCTCCTCGGGTAGGAAGTTCAATGACCATTTCCATTGGCTCAGCGAAGGCAGCAGGTACATTTCAACCACACAAACCTTCAAAATTTGATCCAGTATTTTGTGGATTGGAGGATCAAACCGTTTACAAGAATAAGTTCTCTGTGTTCTGGGCCATGCTGCGGAAAGCAAATATTCCTGGGCTGTGTGGAATTTGGAAGAGATCCACCTTCCTTTTATATACTACAAGAAAACCAAGTAAAAGTAGAAGGAAAAAAAAAATTTGAGGGGGAAAAAAGAAGCCTTTTCAAGTGGAGTATCAGACCCCAGCAGAAGTCAGCAAAAGTAGAGTGCGAAATTTCTGATGGCCCTCTGCTGAGACAAACACTGATTCATTGTTTGTCATCAGCTGGAATTTGGGCCCTCCTACTTCCCTTCTCTTTCAGCATCTCTCTCTCTCCAAACGATCTTTGCATTTGACATGATCACCCAAAGGTTTGTTTTTGCACAGAACTAACACCATAGCAACAGAAGTGAGAGAAAAGATTTATCAGCACCAGCTTGAAAAAACAGAGACATGGCTATGGTGCTTTTTCTTCTGTGAAGTTGGCTACAGCCTACTCTGCTTGCCCTTTTTTATATTAAAAAAAAAAGAACAGGTATTGGTTTCATGGCATTATCACTTACCATCAAAACACAGCAGAAATCAGTTGAATTACATGGAAGACAGTCTCAAAGCTGTACACAGAAAATGCCAGACACAAGGCATAACCCTTTCCAGGGCTTACAAACCCATATATGGAAGAACAACACCAGAAAAATGCTCTTATCATGGCTGGCTGCAGCCAGCCTGCTCACCTTCAAGCAGAAAGACTGGCTGGGAGTTAAAAAACGCTCCATGCTTAGACACGTCGCAGCCCGCTGCCCCACAGCCTTCCCAGAGAGCTCTCCACTGGAAACCAAATTACAGGCATTTGGAGCTCCATCTCTGCCCTCCTCTCCCCTTCCCCCTTCCTCTGTCCTCCAGAAACACACTGCCAGCACATTATCCAAATCATTACAGAGGAGGGCAAAAAAAGTTTATTTCCATTAGGCATAATTTGTTTAAAGTTTTGGGGTTGTTTTTCTCCAGAACACTGGCAATCCATCTACATTGCAGGGACAGGGCGAGTGCCTGGCAGTGTGCCACGGCTCTCCACTGCTCCCAACTGCAGTCCCACACGCATGCATTTCTGGAAGCCATGTATAAAAATAAAACTATGTCCAAATGAAAAAAAATCTGGATTCGTTCAGTCCGGAAAAAAAAAAACCAAACAAGTGCAAATGCTGGATTTAGTAAAAAGAAATATCATTTATCTAAATGATTAAAAATAGTCTTGTATTTTGTTTGTTTTATTCAGTGTTTCCAGTCCGTGCTATAATCAACCGTATTTCAGAATCTGGCTGAGCAGGATTTGTGGGGTTTTTTAAAGCTTTTCTTCAGAAATAGTTTCTGGATTATCATTCACATGAAATGAAGTCTTAATACCAACCTGTTCTGTTCTCTGAAGATAGATCTGTCCACTGCTATATCCCTGAGGAATTTACAACTCACCCTCCATTTCTCTTAATCCTCACTTTTCTCTTAAATATTTTCATTAAAAAAAACCCAGATCCAAACTCACAAGCCTATTGTTTAATCGTTTTGTTTATCATTTTGCTCCCAGTCTCCGCTTGGCTAGCAAACTCCACTCGCCAGCACGCTGCCCTAAGCTCTCGCTTCGTTTCAGTTTCTATTTGATGTGCTGCTCGGAAGGAGCAGAGCAGGAGTGCGGGTCCCTCCGCAGCAGCCCGTCTCGCTGCCAGTGGCAAAAGCTCACGAAACTTTCACCCAAGGGAGGCAAATGAAGATAAGGAGAGAATCACCAGAGATGACAGGTTTGTCCTGAGCCTTCTCACTAGGCAGGTACCCCCAAATCACCAGACATTCTCTCGAGTGCTAGAAAGCTTAATAAAATGCCACAAAAGGGAAAGAATCTGTCCAATTTTCCAGAAGTGACCTGCCAGCACTCTGCTACACATTTTCACAAGTCACAGTCCCAAAGTCCCTTTGTGTCAATTTAACCATTTTCCTCTCTGTGAACTAGACATACAGCCCTAGCCTGACCTCAGTTTTTTGCTCCCTGACTCCTGAGACTGTATATGGAATATTCTACACAAATCCACTGTATCCTGCTATTCAGATACTCAGTTAAGGCTGTACTGACCCCAAGACACGTAGGGTTTATTTCAACCTTAATTCAGCTTCTTAAACTCCACTGCATGTAGACCTTCAGGTTTTTAGTCATCACCTTCCTCTCCTGGAGCTATTTTCTACCCTGCACTTTCATCTCAAACATTTTCATTGAAAGGCTTATAAAACAAAGCTTTTCAAATTCTCCCCTTCCTCCCCCAGCCCCAGCATTTACCTTCGCTGTGCATCAATGCTGAGCAAGTCATAACGAAAAAAAGTCATGAGCTCTGGGCTGGAAAGCCAAGACTCCAAGAAGCTGAACCCTGACAGCTGATGTATTGGTAGACACTTGTTCTCTCCCCAAAAAGTTCAAAGATGAAAGCCTCTAAAAATCTCTTATGTGCTCCGAAGAGGAAAGGGAAGCAGCAAAAATCAATACCGTCAAGTTCACGGTTTCACCTTATTGTAAAAAGTAAATAAAAATATATAGGATAATCTAATTACAGGTGCTCGTATATGAAAGGAAGTGGAGAGATTTCCTGAAAAGAAATCAGGAAAATGGTTTTGCATGTCCATCCATGTGAGACCTACTTGTGCGGAGCAACAGTGACAGAACAGAATGGCGCAGAAGCCTGCCTGCTCTTCTGATAAACCAGGGGAAATCCACAGGACCAACACAAGACCAGCACGTCCTCTCTTCCCAAATTAAATCCTGCAGGAGCAGTCCAGTCCTATCCTTCCACTGGGACCGCTCTCCCACAAAGGCTGCTGTCAGATTTATGCATGTACCGAACTGACAGAAGTGACTTCCTGCCAAAGCCTGTGGAAGGTGACAAAGCATGTATCAGTATCCACTTCATCATGAGGAAATACATTATGTTATCTGGTAGATGAAAACCAGGTATTTTCACTGATATACAGGCTTTCCATAGCTCCTAAAATATTCACACATATTCACAAACTAAATAAATATTTACATATTTAAGATGTGGCCCAGCAAGAACATGATCTGGGCTGTCATCCTGCACAGCTAGTGCAAGCATTCAGGCCTTGCTGCTGGGACCAAAGGATAC